CCTCATCGAGTTCCAGACCAACCTGGTGCCCTACCCGCGCATCCACTTCCCGCTGACCACCTACGCGCCCATCGTGTCGGCGGAGAAGGCCTACCACGAGCAGCTCTCCGTGCCGGAGATCACCAACGCCTGCTTCGAGTTCTCCAACCAGATGGTGAAGTGCGACCCGCGGCGCGGCAAGTACATGGCCTGCTGCCTCCTCTACCGCGGCGACGTGGTGCCCAAGGACGTCAACGCCGCCATCGCCGCCATCAAGACGCGCCGCTCCATCCAGTTCGTCGACTGGTGCCCCACGGGCTTCAAGGTGGGCATCAACTACCAGCCGCCCACCGTGGTGCCCGGCGGCGACCTGGCCAAGGTGCAGAGGGCCGTGTGCATGCTGAGCAACACCACGGCCATCGCCGAGGCCTGGGCCCGCCTCGACCACAAGTTCGACCTCATGTACGCCAAGAGGGCCTTCGTGCACTGGTACGTGGGCGAGGGCATGGAGGAGGGCGAGTTCTCCGAGGCCAGGGAGGACCTGGCGGCGCTGGAGAAGGATTACGAGGAGGTGGGCAGGGACTCTGCGGACGGGGAGGAGGAGGAGGAGGAGGAGGCCGAGGAGGACGAGTACTGAGGGGACGCGGCGGAGCCAAACCTCAGAGACCTTCCGTGCCGAGGGCCTGGAGGCATCAGGACCATCCCTTGGCATGTTAAACCTTCCCCTGCTTCGCGTAGTCCTGGGTGTCCTGAGCTTTGCCACGCTGCTGTTTTATCGCTGAGTTAAGGCCCGGCTTAGTGTCCCGCCTAGGCAGGATGATCCCGGTCTCCTCCTGCTCCAGGGGGGGAAAAATGCTACGAGCTGCTTTGGCTGGAATGGCAAAACTCTGGCTCTGGCTTTTGAGTGTAAAAGCACTTTTTTTTTTGGGTTAGGAACGCGCCTGTCCTTCTACGCAACCGCCTTTTTTTGTATGTGAATAAAGACCTTTTTTTTTGCCTTTTCGGCTCAGAGAATTCCTTGGGTTGTGCGGGGAGGTCCCTCCCGACCTCGGGGGTTTTGTCCTGAGGAGAAGAGCAGATGCTGAGCTGGGAGACTCATCATCATCAACCCTAATTACCGAGGGAAGTGCCCCATATCCTCTGGGAATGCTGCCTGGCCGGAGCTGGACACTCTTCCCAGCTCCAAGAGGAAGCAGGTCTGGGAGCAGGCAGGGAACCCCCGGTGTGATTAAAAAAAACCACCCCAAAAAACCCAAAACCAACCTGAAAAATTCTGGCTGATCCAGCTGGAAACTTTATTTAAAGAGTAGCACAAGTTCCACCTTTTTTTTTTTTTTTTTTTTTTTGTGGATGCAAAACTGGTTGGAAAAAAAAAATCTCCCCTAAACCCTTTGGGATTAGATATTAAATCCATAAATTCCCCCCCCCCCTTTTTCCCAGTGGTTTTTTAATGGAATCTTCGCTCCCCGGGGTTTTTGCACTGTGACCGGGGCCAAACTGGGGGTTAAAAAGTGCTTTTTTTGGTGGGGTTTTGCCTCCCCACCATCTCTGGTCCTTCCCTGAGCTGTGTCCTGGTTGTTGGAGGGTGTTTTAGGAGGGGAAAATCAACCCTCCCAAAAAGGACCTGGGCAGTGTTTTAGAAGGGAAAAATCCACCCTCTAAGAAGGATCTGGAGAGTGTTTTAGGAGGGAAAATCAACCCCCTAAAAAGGATCTGGGCAGTGTTTTAGGAGGGAAAATCAATGTTCTCAAAAAGGACCTGGAGAGAATTTTAGGAGGGAAAACCAACCCTCACAAAAAGGACCTGGACATTAATTTAGGAGGGAAAAATCAACCCTCTAAAAAGGACCTGGACAATATTTTAGGAGGGAAAAATCAACCCATCATAAAGGACCTGGAGAGTGTTTTAGGAGGGAAAACCAACCCTCACAAAAAGGACCTGGACATTAATTTAGGAGGGAAAAATCCACCCTCTAAAAAGAATCTGGACATTATTTTAGGAGGAAAAATCAATGTTCTTAAAAAGATCTGGGCAGTATTTTAGGAGGGAAAATCAACATCCTCATAAAGGACCTGGACAATATTTTGGGAGGCAAAATTACCCCTCTCAGAAAGGACCTGGAGAGAATTTTAGGAGGGAAAATCAATGTTCTCAGAAAGGACCTGGAGAGTGTTTTAGGAGGGAAAATCAATGTTCTCAAAAAGGATCTGGACATTAATTTAGGAGGGAAAAATCCACCCTCTAAAAAGAATCTGGGCATTATTTTAGGAGGGAAAATCAACCCTGTCAAGAAGGACCTTGACATTATTTTAGGAGGGAAAATCAACATCCTCATAAAGGACCTGGACAATATTTTGGGAGGCAAAATTGCCCCTCTCAGAAAGGACCTGGAGAGTGTTTTAGGAGTGAAAATCAACCCTCTAAATAGTACCTGGATATTATTTTAGGAGGGAAAACCAACCCTCCCAAAAAGGATCTGGACATTAATTTAGGAGGGAAAAATCCACCCTCTAAAAAGAATCTGGACATTATTTTAGGATGGAAAATCAATATTCTTAAAAAGGATCTGGGCAGTATTTTAGGAGGGAAAATCAACCCTCACAAAAAGGATCTGGACATTAATTTAGGAGGGAAAAATCAACCCTCTCAAAAGGATCTGGGCAGTATTTTAGGAGGGAAAATCAACATCCTCATAAAGGATCTGGACAATATTTTGGGAGGTAAAATTACCCCTCTCAGAAAGGACCTGGAGAGTGTTTTAGGAGGGAAAAATCAACCCTCTAAAAAGGACCTGGAGAGTGTTTTAGGAGGGAAAAATCAACCCTCTAAAAAGGACCTGGAGAGTGTTTTAGGAGGGAAAATCAATGTTCTCAGAAAGGACCTGGAGAGTGTTTTAGGAGGGAAAATCAACCCTCACAAAAAGGACCTGGATATTATTTTAGGAGGGAAAAATCCACCCTCTAAAAAGAATCTGGACATTATTTTAGGAGGGAAAATCAACCCTGTCAAGAAGGACCTTGACATTATTTTAGGAGGGAAAATCAATATCCTCATAAAGGACCTGGAAAATATTTTGGGAGGCAAAATTACCCCTCTCAGAAAGGACCTGGAGAGTGTTTTAGGAGGGAAAATCAACCCTCTAAATAGTACCTGGATATTATTTCAGAAGGGAAAATCAACCCTCCCAAAAAGGATCTGGACATTAATTTAGGAGGGAAAAATCCACCCTCTAAAAAGAATCTGGGCAGTGTTTTAGGAGGGAAAATCAATGTTCTCAAAAAGGACCTGGAGAGAATTTTAGGAGGGAAAACCAACCCTCACAAAAAGGACCTGGACATTAATTTAGGAGGGAAAAATCCACCCTCTAAAAAGGACCTGGACAATATTTTAGGAGGGAAAAATCAACCCATCATAAAGGACCTGGAGAGTGTTTTAGGAGGGAAAATCAACCCTCACAAAAAGGACCTGGACATTAATTTAGGAGGGAAAAATCCACCCTCTAAAAAGAATCTGGACATTATTTTAGGAGGAAAAATCAATGTTCTTAAAAAGATCTGGGCAGTATTTTAGGAGGGAAAATCAACATCCTCATAAAGGACCTGGACAATATTTTGGGAGGCAAAATTACCCCTCTCAGAAAGGACCTGGAGAGAATTTTAGGAGGGAAAATCAATGTTCTCAGAAAGGACCTGGAGAGTGTTTTAGGAGGAAAAATCAACTCTCACAAAAAGGACCTGGACATTAATTTAGGAGGGAAAAATCCACCCTCTAAAAAGAATCTGGACATTATTTTAGGATGGAAAATCAATATTCTTAAAAAGGATCTGGGCAGTATTTTAGGAGGGAAAATCAACCCTCACAAAAAGGATCTGGACATTAATTTAGGAGGGAAAAATCGACCCTCTAAAAAGGATCTGGGCAGTATTTTAGGAGGGAAAATCAACATCCTCATAAAGGATCTGGACAATATTTTGGGAGGTAAAATTACCCCTCTCAGAAAGGACCTGGAGAGTGTTTTAGGAGGGAAAATCAACCCTCACAAAAAGGACCTGGATATTATTTTAGGAGGGGAAAATCCACCCTCTAAAAAGAATTTGGACATTATTTTAGGAGGGAAAATCAACCCTGTCAAGAAGGACCTTGACATTATTTTAGGAGGGAAAATCAATATCCTCATAAAGGACCTGGACAATATTTTGGGAGGCACAATTACCCCTCTCAGAAAGGACCTGGAGAGAGTTTCAGGAGGGAAAATCAACCCTCTAAAAAGGACCTGGAGAGTGTTTCAGGAGGGAAAATCAACCCTCTCAGAAAGGACCTGGAGAGAGTTTCAGGAGGGAAAATCAACCCCTCAAACTCCCAAAATCCGTTCCCCAAAGAGGCCCCTCGAAAGAAGGAAGATGATTCCTGATTCCCCTCTCTGTGTGCCCACAGCTGGGAAGATTCCAGGTCTGCTCTTCGGGGCTGACCCCTCTCCCTGGTGGGGCTGGAATGTTCCATCCCACCCAAAAAAAAAGGTGGGATTGAATATTCCAGCGGTCCCGGGATGGAATCGGAGAGAGCATCATTTTTTGTGTTTATTTTCCCTGGAATAACCAAGTTTGTGCTTCATTTTTTGTGTTTATTTTTCCCTGAAATAGCCAAATTTCTGCTTCATTTTTTGTGTTTATTTTCCCCTGGAATAGCCAAATTTGGGCTTCATTTTTTGTGTTTATTTTCCCTGGAATAGCCAAATTTGGGCTTCATTTTTTGTGTCTATTTTTCCCCTGGAATAACCAAGTTTGTGCTTCATTTTTTGTGTCTATTTTTCCCCTGGAATAACCAAGTTTGTGCTTCATTTTTTGTGCTTATTTTTCCCTGGAATAACCAAGTTTGTGCTTCATTTTTTGTGTTTATTTTTCCCTGAAATAGCCAAATTTCTGCTTCATTTTTTGTGTTTATTTTCCCCTGGAATAACCAAGTTTGTGCTTCATTTTTTGTGTTTAGTTTCCCCTGGAATAACCAAGTTTGTGCTTCATTTTTTGTGTCTATTTTCCCCTGGAATAACCAAGTTTGTGCTTCATTTTTTGTGTTTATTTTCCCCTGGAATAACCAAGTTTGTGCTTCATTTTTTGTGTTTATTTTTCCCTGAAATAGCCAAATTTGTGCTTCATTTTTTGTGTCTATTTTCCCCTGGAATAGCAAAGTTTGTGCTTCATTTTTTGTGTTTATTTTCCCTGGAATAGCAAAGTTTGGGCTTCATTTTTTGTGTCTGTTTTCCCCTGGAATAGCGAAGTTTGTGCTTCATTTTTTGTGTTTATTTTCCCTGGAATAACCAAGTTTGTGCTTCATTTCTTGTGTTAATTTCCCCTGGAATAGCGAAGTTTGTGCTTCATTTTTTGTGTTTATTTTTCCCTGAAATAGCCAAATTTGTGCTTCATTTTTTGTGTTTATTTTCCCTGAAATAACCAAGTTTGGGCTTCATTTTTTTGTTTATTTTCCCCTGGAATAACCAAATTTGTGCTTCATTTTTTGTGTTTATTTCCCCTGGAATAGCAAAGTTTGTGCTTCATTTTTTGTGTTTATTTTCCCTTGGAATAACCAAGTTTGTGCTTCACTTTTTGTGTTTATTTTCCCTTGGAATAACCAAGTTTCTGCTTCATTTTTTGTGCTTATTTTTCCCTGAAATAACCAAGTTTGTGCTTCATTTTTTGTGTCTATTTTCCCCTGGAATAACCAAGTTTCTGCTTCATTTTTTGTGTTTATTTCCCCTGGAATAACCAAGTTTGTGCTTCATTTTTTGTGTCTATTTTCCCCTGGAATAGCCAAGTCTGTTCTTCATTTTTTGTGTTTATTTCCCCTGGAATAGCAAAGTTTGGGCTTCATTTTTTGTGTTTATTTTCCCCTGGAATAACCAAGTTTGTGCTTCATTTTTTGTGCTTATTTTCCCCGGAATAGCTTCATTTTGTGCTGGAATAACAAAGCTGGTCCTAAAAGAAAGCCCGGCCTGCAGGATCCC